GATTTTTCTGTAATTGGTTTTTTTTTTTTACCTTGGTATCACCAGAAACTCCATCACATGCATTTGACTCTATTTCTCTATTGTTTTTATGGTTGTGATGTATTTTTGCTCTTCTTGATATGGTGTTTCCTTGCCTCAATGGATATCATGAAAAATTTATTGATGTACTTAAGCTATATGACCAGTTAGATTTTGTGATGTATACTTTTTGTATAGGTGAGCTATATTTAATTTTGAGTGTATCATACTGTATAGTCAGCGTATACTTCATGTATAGTTAAGCTATATTCAACTTTTGAGTGTATCATAATGTATATTCAATTTATACTCCATGTACAGTTAAGTTATATTCGTCTTTTTGAGTGTAGCGTAATGTATAGTTATTGTATACTTGTTATGATATATCATGTATTGTTCTAGTATATGATTATGTGTTTTGTATTTTCCTATTTTCAGCATCTTGATGCGATCTTTTACTACTTCGAGGAAGAAGGGAAAAGTATGGTCCTACTATTAATTATGTGAAATTCACCACAACTGATTTTCTATTTCACAATGAGTTGACTGATATGTATAAAGAGTTTTTCAGAAATAACAACAATAAAAATGTGCTTTCAGAGGATCATATAGTAGCTGAGTACATTTTTGAAATTTTTATGGATGCCAATGTTTTTATGTTCCAAGGGGTAAAACAAAAGAAAATAATGGGAAGACCAAAAAGTGGAAGAAAAAATATTTTTTAACTAGTCTAATTATTTAATATGTATTCCTGAATTTTTTATTTGTGTTTGGCTGGCTAGATAGTGTAATTTCTACATTGTAAATCAGTAGAAATATAGTTCTTATAGCTAAAATTTTGGATTGTTATCGAATGTTCATAATTAAGAGCTTGTTCATATTTAAGATATTCTTAAAGCTCTTCTTTAAATGAAGTATTGTGATTGTTGTTCATGTTATTTTTTATCACGTTGATAAATATTTTCAAAATTACATATTTTAGTAGTGCATTTGAAATGAGATGTCGGGCATCATTGGACAAGGAAAAATGTGCATATATATATATAAAGAAAATTCAAAAATTTGTGGATTCTATTGAAGGAAGTTGATGGAACATGTTAAAGGAACAAGTTGAACGAAGCTGACTGGCGAGTTAGATTTAGAGTTACACCAGGACTGGACTATTGAATCCTCATTTATGTATAATCCTACCTAATTTATGTACGACTAAAGCTGATGTAGTTGACTAGGATAAGGTGTAAATAATATATTTGTGTTGTAGTAGGACTCCTAGTGTAGCTAGTATAGGACTTTTCTCCTATACAAGGAGAATGTAACTCAACAAATCAATTATCAATACAATCCTTGATTTCTCCATACTTTACGTGAGATTTCTACATGGTATCAAATCATTAAAGTTTTTTCGCTCTTTAACGTATAATATCAAAACCAAAACAACCACAATATCGAATTGCAATGGCCCCTTCTATCAACACTCTTTCAACCTCCTCACTTCATCATCTTATTTCGTCCTGCTCCATTAAACTTAAGCCAACAAACTATTATATATGGAGGACACAAATGTCTCAGTTGATTCAAGTGATGAGATTAACCTACCTCATCACAGAGAATGAACCAACTAAAGGTACATGTTCCACTGGACAGATTACTGAGAAATTTGTAGCATGCGGGAAAGGTGCAGAAGACATCAACATTACTGATGATTGAGAGGAGAAGGATGTATTGCTAAGGAGTTGGATATCAGGCACCTTGACAGAATAAAACATGTACTTGATCGTAGGCTGCTCAACTGCCAAGGAGATGTGGGAATGCTTGGAAGAAGCTTATCTTCAAGCACCAAAAGATAAGGAGTTCCAACTTAAACAACAACTGCAAAGTGTGAAGCTAGGAACCAAAATGATTGATGAATACATTAAGGAATTCAAAGGCATATGTTATGGCCTTTCAGCCATTCACAAGCATGTAGATGAAGATATCAAAGTAATTAATTTTTCTAGAGGTCTAAGTCTTAAGTACAAAACCTTCAAGACTTTCATGCTAGGTAAGGCACCATATCCTACTCTTAATCAATTTGTTAATGCTCTCAGGGGTTTTGATATGAGGGAGGATGAATAATAAGTGCCACAACAAAACCATAAAATGGAATTCTCTGCCCAAAGGGGCAGGGGAAGAGGAAACTACTCTCAAAGAAGAGGAAACAATAACTTCAATTCCAGAGGAAGAGGCTTCAAGACTATTGGACAAGGAACAAGTTCTTATAACAACAAAAATGGACCAGGTCCTCAAAACAGTCCCTCAAGTGGAAGTCAGGAGAGGAACAATACTGATGCGTGTAAAATTTGTGGTAGGAATAACATACTGCTCTTAAGTGTTTTTACAGGTGGGATTACTCTTACCAAGTCGCAGATGATCTACCACAAGCATTGACTGCTACTAATCTACAAACACTACTGATGACACCTTGTATGTGGACTCAGGAGCAAGTAGCCATATGATACATAATTCAGGTATCCTAAGTGATCTTAAACACTACAATGGACCAGATAAAATCATTATTGGGAATGGATCAAAATTGGACATAACACATGTTGGGAACATATCCAGACCAGGTCTAAAGTTAAAAGAAGTTCTTGTAGTTCCTAAGATTAATAAAAATCTACTCTCAGTTGGTAAGCTTGCAAAGGATAATTGTTGCACTCTTGAATTTGATGAAACTAACTTTGTTGTAAAGGACAAGAAGACAAGGGCACATTTTACCAAGGGATCTAAAAGGAATGGACTCTATGCTTTGGAAGATAACAATCTCTATGCTTTAACTGTTGCACACGATTGGAACACGTGAGACAACATGTGGCATACTAGATTAGGACACCCTAGTTTGAAGTCTTTAAAAGTTTTGAGTGGTAATAGCTGCATCAATGTTGGTATTTGGAATAAAATGCCTATTGTTTGTTCTAGTTATCAATTAGGCAAGAGTTGTAAACTTCCATTTGGTTTAAGAAATAAAATTGAGAAAGAACCTTTATTGAAAATTCATTGTGACTTGTGGAGACCTGCTCCTATCGAATCTTTTGAACATATGAAATATTATGTCGTTTTTGTAGATGATCACACAAGATAGACATGGATTTATCCACTAAAAAAGAAATCTGAATTCTTTGAGGTCTTTGTAAAATTCCAAAAAAAAAAGTAGAAAAACAATTTTCTAAAGAAATTAAGACATTTTAGTGTAATGGAGGTGATGAGTTTATCAAAATATACTTCATCAAGCATTTGGAAGATTGTGGAATTGTGAGACATATTTCATGTCCTAACACACATGAACAAAATGGTGTTTCAAAAAGAAAACATAAGAATATTGTGGAGACTAGCTTAACTCTACTACTCCATGCTAACCTACCTTTATTTCTATGGGTTGAGGCTTTTCTCACAGCAGTGTTCCTCATTAATCGACTACCCTCTTCCGTCCTAAAGAAGGTGACTCTATTTGTTAAGTTGTATGGAGAACAACCTGATTACAACAACCTTAAAGTGTTTGGGTGTATATGTTTTCCATATATCAGGGGTATCAATAAGTTCAGTCTAAAGACTTATCCTTTTGTGTTCATAGGATACAACAGTCTACACAAAGGATATATATGCTATCATCCCTCTAAAAGAAAGGTTTACATATCCAGACATGTTGTGTTTGATGAAAACACATTACCCTAAGTGTCTCAAAATCAATCTCAGACTAACATTGATGTCTCACCTCACCTTGATACTATTATTGAATCTTTCTCTAAATTGCAGCCACATGATAATTCAGGGGAAGAACATACTGATAGTACGCAAGTTACTAGTGACAATGCTACTATAACAACCCATATACTCCTTGATGATGAGAGTCATATTGACCTCTCAGGTGCAGGATCATATGATGATCATGAGGAACAAGTTGAAAGTGATGATCCATATAGTGGTATTAAGACTCCACCTGCAGATTTGGATCTGCTAGCGGCAGTAAGGAACATGTTGATCTTACAGGTCCTGTCAATGAGCATCATCAACCTGAAGATACTACACTTCAATCAACTACTTTAGTTGATGTACTAGTTAACCATTAACCTGACGATACTACACTCCAATCAACTACTTTAGTTGATGTACCAATTGAGGTACTTCCTACACCACAAGGGGCATCATATGATCACCAGACACAAGGCGAAGGAACATCACTTATCACTTGTTGCTTGCAACAACAAAGAAATTTTGAGGGAACCAAATACTACTAAGGAAACACTTAGGTCACCTCATTGTCTTGCAGCGATGCAGGAGGACATCAATGCTTTACACACTAACAAGACATGGATATTGGTGCCGGAATCTTCTGGTATAAATTTGGTTGGATCAAAATGGGTGTTCAAGATAAAATTATAAGTTGATGGAACAATAGCTAGATACAAGGCCAGACTTGTGGCCAAGGGATTCTTGCAGCTTGAAGGCATATACTTTGAAGAAACATTTAGCCCTGTGGTTAAAGCCACAACTATTAGAGTGATTCTATCCATTGTTGTCATCTCAAAGTGGGAAGTTAGACAACTAGATGTCAAAAATGCTTTTCTCCATGGTTTCCTACAAGAGGAGGTGTACATGAGTCAACCTCCTGAATTTATTGATCCCAAGTATCCTCAGCATGTGTGCCTACTTTAAAAGGCATTGTATGGTCTTAAACAAGCACCAATGGCCTGGTTTGATAGGTTTAGCATGCATCTCCTACACCTTGGTTTTATCTGTAGTAAGGCAGATCCCTCATTATTTACATTGCAAGCTCACAAAAACACCATATTTCTCTTGTTATATGTGGATGATATTATTGTCACAAGAAGTAATCCATCACATGTCTCAAAGTTGGTTCGACAACTTGGGAAAGAATTTGCCATGAAAGATCTTGGTCCTTTACACTTCTTTCTAGGAGTAGTAAGGTGCTGGACAAGACATAGATGACTTTGGCAAATGTTGTAGCCACTTCTTTGGCTCAAAAGCATCGTTTACATGAAGATGTGGGAAGCCTGGTCTATGCATCCTTTTACAGAATGATAGTAGAGAGTCTTGAGTTGCTGGACAAGACACAGATGACTTTGGCAAAGGTTGTAGCCACTCCTTTGGCTAAAAAACATGGTTTACATGAAGTTGTGGGAAGCCTGGTCGATGCATCCTTTTAAAGAATGATAGTAGGGAGTCTTCAATACTTGATACTCACAAAATCGTATATCACTCATGATGTGAATTTAGCAAGCCAGTTTATGCAAAATCCAAACATTGAACATTTTCAAGGGGTGAAAAGGATTCTCAGATACATCAAAGGTACTCTACACTTTGGACTCAGAATTATTTCACAATCACCATGTAGGTTGTATCGATACTCAGATGATGATTGGAGAGGTTATACCACCACTAGGAGATCAACAACATGCTATAGAATCTACCTAGGTGCAAATTATATTTCTTGAACATTAAAGAAGCAAACAATAGTAGCCCGATCGAGTGCTGAAGCTGAGTATAGATCACTCGCCTCCACTGCAGCAGAGATGACATAAATCATATATCTACTTCATGACCTTGCGATGTTTCTTCGATCTGTACCTATATTGTGTTTTGATAACATGAGTTCCTTGTACATGACAGTTAATCCAGTTATGCATGCTAGAGCCAAATATGTTGAAATGGACTACCACTTTGTTCGTAAGAAGGTGGCCAGAGGACAACTCCTTACTCAGTTTGTAAGGTCTAAGGATCAACTATCTGATATTCATATAAAAGCATTAAGCAAGCAGGTTTTTGCTGAGTTTTGTAGTAAGCTAGGAGTTACAGTCCCTCCACTCACTAGCTTGAGGGGAAATGTTGAAGGAAGTTGATGGAACGTATCAAAGGAACAGGTTCAACGAAGCTGACTGACGAGTTAGAGTTAGAGTTACACTAGAACTAGACTATTCAATCCTAATTCATGTACAATCCTACCTAATTTATGTACGACTAAAGCTGATGTAGTCGACTAGGATAATGTATAAATAATATATTTGTGTTGTAGTAGGTATCCTAGTGTAGCTAGTATAGGACACTTCTCCTATATAAAGAGTATGTAATTCAACAAATCCTTGATTTCTCCATACCTTATGTGAGATTACTACAGATTTCTCTTCTTTCCTTTTTTTATTTGGGTGAGATTTTTTTAGCCCCCATATCTAGCGCCCGGAACACCCAAAAGTTTTTTCTAAAAAAACGTTATGAGGACCTCTGTATTGAGTTAGGGATCCATCACGTATACTCACACCATTTTTTTTGCGTCCATTTTCACATCTATAGGCCCTTTTTTAGGAATTGCGAAAATTTCTCAATTTTTCGTGTGTATTAGCCCATGGAGCTGGTGCCTAGAAGACTCAAAACTTTTTTCTCAAAAAACTTTATGAGGACCTCCGTATTGAGTTGGGTAACCATCACGTATACTCACACCATTTTTTCACGCCCATTTCTGCATCTGTAGTCCCTTTTTTAGGAATCGCGCATATTCCTCAATTTTTAGTGTGTATTATCCCATGGATCTGGCGCCCGTAACACCCAAAAATATTTTCTCAAAAACTTTATGAGGACCTCCGTATTGAGTTGGGGAACCATCACGTATACTAACACCATTTTTTATGTCAATTTCTGCACATACAGGCCCTTTTTTCAGAATCGCGCAAATTCCTCAATTTTTCATGTGTTAGCCTATTCATCTGGCGCCCGGAGAACCCAAAATTGTTTTCTCAAAAACATTACGAGGACCTCCGTATTGAGTTGGGTAACTATCAAGTATACTCACACCATTTTGTTTGCACCCATTTCCGCATCTACAGACCCTTTTAAGGATTGCGCAAATTTATCAATTTTTCGTGTGTATTAGCACATGGATTTGGCGCCCGCAACACCTTAAATTGTTTCTCAAAAACTTTTTTAGGACCTCTGTATTGAGTTGGGGAACCATCACGTATACACACACATCATTTTTTTTGCATCCATTTCTGCATCTACATGCCCTATTTTAGTTATCCCGCTAGTCTTAATTTTTCATGTGTATTTGCCCATGGATCTGGCACCCAGAGCACCAAATTTTATTTCTCAAATAACTTTATTAGGACGTCCATATTGAGTTTGGAAACCATCACGTACTCACACCATTGTTTTGTGCCCATTTTCGCATCTACAAACCTTTAATTTAGGAATCGCGCAAATTCCTTATTTTTTTGTGTGTATTAGCCCATGGATCTGGCGCATGGAGAACCCAATTTTTTTTTCTTAAAAAACATTATGAGGAACTTCGTCTTGAGTTTGGGAACAATCACGTACACTCACACCTTTTTTTTCACGCCCATTTCCGCATCTACAATCCCTTTTTTAGAAATCGCGCAAATTCCTCAATTTTTCGTGTGTATTAGCCCATGGATCTAGTTCCTGGAGCACCCTAAAAATTTATCTCAAAAAACTTTATGAGGACCTCCGTATTGAGTTGCGGAACCATCACGTATACTCATACCATTTTTTGGCACCTATTTCCGCATCAACATGCCATTTTTTAGGAATCACACAAATTTCTTAATTTTTCGTGTGTATTAGTTCATTGATATGGCGCCCGAAGTACCCTAATTTTTTTACTCAAAAACTTTATGAGGACTTTCGTATTGAGTTGGGGAACCATCATGTATACTCACATCAATTTTGTCGAGCCCATTTCTGCATCTGTAGGCCCTTTTTTAGGAATGGCATAAGTTCCTCAATTATTCGTGATTATTAACCCATGGATCTGGCACCCAGAGCACCCAAATTTGTTTTTCAAAAAACTTTATGAGGAACAACGTATTGAGTTTGGGAACCATCAAGTATACTCAGGCCATTTTTTTTGCTCCATTCCGCATTTACAGGCCCTTTTTTAGGAATCACGCAAATTTTTCAATTTTTCGTGTGTATAATACCCATGGATCTGGCGCCTGGAGCACTAATTCTTTTTTCAAAAAACATTATGAGGACCTTTGTATTAAATCTGGTAACCATCACGTATAGTCACACCACTTTTTGCGCCCATTTCTGCATCTAAAATCCCTTTTTTGGTAATCGCGTAATTTCCTCATTTTTTCGTGTGTATTAGCCGATGGATCTGGTGCCCGAAGCACCATAAAATAATTCTCAAAAAACTTTATGAGGACCTCTGTATTGGGTTGGAGAATCATCACGTATACTCACACCAGTTTTTTCTGCCCATTTCCGCATCTACAAGCCCTATTTTAGGAATCGCGCAAATTCCTCAATTTTTCGCATGTATTAGCCCATGGATCTAGGCCCGGAGCACCTAATCATTTTTTCAAATAACTTTATGAGGACATATGTATTGTGTTGGGAACCATCATGTATTTCAAAGCACTTTTTTCGCGCCCATTTTCGCATCTACAAGCCCTTTTATAGGAATCACGCAAATTCTTCAATTTTTGGTCTGTATTAGCCCATGGATTTGGCGCCGAGAGCACCCAAATTTTTTATCACAAAAAAATTTATGAGGACCTCCGTATTGAGTTGGGGAATCATCATGTATACTCACACAATTTTTTTGTTCCCATTTCCGCATCTACATGCCCATTTTTTATGAATCGCACAAATTCCTCAATTTTTCATGTGTATTAGCCCATGGATCTGGCGCCCGAAGCACCCAAAACAAAACTCTCAAAAAACATTATGAGGACCTCCATATGGAGTTGGGGAACCATCATGTATACTCACACCATTTTTTTCGCGGCCATCTCCGCATCTACAGCCTTTTTTTTTTGGAATCGCGCAAATTCCTCATTTTTAGTGTGTAATAGCACCATTGATCCGGCACCCAGAGAACCCTAAAATTTTTTATCAAAAAACTTTACGAGGACCTCTATATTGAGTTAGGTAACCATCGCGTATACTCACACCATTTCTTTCGCACTTATTTCCGCGTCTATAGGTCCTTTTTAGGAATCGCGCAAAGTTCTCAATTTTTCGTGCATCCATGGATCTGGCGCCCGGAGCATCCAAAAATGTTTTCTCAAATAACTTCATAAAGACCTGTGTATTGAGTTGGGGAACCATAACGAATACTCACACCATTTCTTTCGCGCCCATTTCCGCATCTACATGCCTTTTTTTAGAAATCGCGCAAATTTCTTATTTTATCGTGTGTATTACCCCATGGATCTAGCACTCGGAGCACCCAAAAATTATTCAAAAAATATTATGAGGACCTCTGTATTAAGTTGGGTAACCATCAAGTATACTCACACCATTTTGTTTCACCCAGTTCAACATCTACATGCCCTTTTTAGTAATCGCGCAAATTTCTCAATTTTTCGTGTGTATTAGCAATGGATCTGGCGCCCGAAGCACCCAAAAAAAATTTCTCAAAAAACTTAATGAGAACCTCTATATTGAGTTGGAGAACCATCACGTACACTCACACCATTTTTTTGCGCTCATTTTTGCATATTGGCCATTTTTAGGAATCACGCAAATACCTTAATTTTTCGTGTGTATTAGCCCATGGATCTGGAGCCTAGAGCACCCAATTTATTTTCTCAAATAATGTTATGAGGACGTCCATATTGAGTTGGGGAACTATCACGTATACCCATAACATTTTTTTTGCGCCCATTTCCGCATCTATAGGCCCTTTTTTAGGAATCGAGTAAATTTCTCAATTTTTCGGCCCCAGTGTGTCACTTGGTTAGCATTTGTAGAACAAAATAAGTAGGGCTGGTTTTTCGATAGGGAAAGAGACGGGGGAGTGGGAGTTGGCTGTAATTGAGACAATTTGGATGGATGATATGGATTTTTTCGAGATAGTTAACCACTTTTTTCACCGTGAGAGGGCTGAAAAGGAAGCTGACCAACAGGGAGAGGGAGGTCATTTAGAACCCGCTGGCTCCAGAACGGGGGGGCGGCTCCAGAGGCGCTGCCGCAGGCGCCAGCACCGACATAAATTGCCCACCCCGATCCTGATCAAAAAGAGCGTGCGAGACTTCGAAGGGACATTCACACTTTGATTCGTGAGCAACTTCACGAGAACATTGTGAAAGGGGGAAATGGCGGCTGTCCGTGCACTTTCCGGAAATGACGGAAATATAGTCCAGTGTCGCGAAGGCGATAATGTCTTACGATCTGGAGATCTCCGCGGAGACGGATACGGAAACCCTCCGCAGATGGGTGGAGAATATAAGGGGGACCTTTCTCTCCTAAAGCTACTCATTAGGGAATACCGGCCAAATTAGTCTGTCTGCCGCTTTCTTTCATAACAGAGCCGTTATTCCCGGCTGGCATAGAAGTCTCTCGCGCGGGACAAATGAGATGCATTTCTGGTACTGATGGTATTGGACAAGCTCTAAGGGAATAATCTCTTTCTTATTTCTGTATTTCTTTCCCATGACGACTAAGAACAGGCAAATCCAAAATTTCACTTCGAATTTCGGACCTCAACATCCTGCTGCTCATGGTGTTTCACGATCAGTATTGGAAATGAACGGAGAAGTGGTGGAACGCGCGGAACCACATATTGGATTACTCCAGTGCGGCACGAAGCCGCTGATGCCGAGTCGGCTCCTATGCCGCTAGCTATGCCCTGCTTGGTCCCCCTCCCCCGGCACGGTGGAGGTTTCGTAGCACGTCATGAGCACCGGGCTAAGGGGCGGTTGAGCAACTCAAGCGAACCACCTTACCTTATTCCAACATAGGGACAGAAGGGAGAAGGTTGTGAAGGTGGCCTCGTTATCCATACCTCCGGTCGGATGAATGGAGGACCGATCGACCCGGGTTTTCACGAGCGTTGGCGGGTTCTGGAGTGCCTGTCAAGGGCGCTAGCGCATACCCCGGGGTGATCATCACCACCTGCACCTCACATCTTGGCACAGTGGAACGTGTAACCCGCCTGCTGTTCCATTCAACTACATTTGTTCCTTTAATCCATAGCTTAAAAGAACGCAGCAGCGAGGGACAACCCGCCCATACAGCCAGCGGGGAGGATGACACTACTGGCAAAGACCGTCTGGCGAAAACGCCGCAGGCACGAAGCGTGGTAGGCCTGCGCTGGGGGAGCATACCATAGGGAGGAAAGGGAGCCCGGACGGTGGAAGAGCCAGGGGAGGCCGGGTCATTTGACGGAAATAGAAGGCTTTTCCCTATTAGAGAAGGCCCTATGGAGTAAGGGGAAGTGGATGAATTCTTGGAAAAAGAGGGAGCGAGCCTATATAAAATAGAAAATGAAATAAATAAAATTCCATGAATAGATAGAGTCAACGGTATGACAGACAGCGCTGCCTACACGCGAATTAGCTTCCGAGGTTGAGCAGTCTCAATTTCACTACAGGATTTGCGAATGAATGCTGGGCTGGGCCACCTCGAATGGCGTGAGCCGCATGCGGGGAGACTCGCACGTACGATTTTTAGGGGGATCTGGTCGAAAAACCGGCCGGCGCCCACCCGACTAGAGGGACTGAGAAATTAATTGAGTACAAAAACTTATCGCGGGGTCACTGAATGAAGTCCTCCGTTTCTTTCGGAGGTGCTGACCCGCAGCGAGGCAGAGATGACTAAGTGACATATGGAATATGGCGACGACAACAGCATGTCGTAGAAGGAGATAACAGGTGGAGCCAACGACCTACTAAGACTAACCTATCTACAACTACATCCCCGAGCGGCAGTCAAACGGGGGCGTGAATGCGAGATGCCAGCGAAATGATCGGCCGGACAGAGGCTAGGGCTGCTTCCTTCCCACCGCGTCCTTCCTTGTGTGTCGGAGATATAAAGCGAGTGCACCGGAAAAGAACGGGAACTGGATCGATCTATTCTATGGTGAAGCATCTGAAGCATAACTGCGCACTCACACGATCTTTGCCGAGAGATAGGAGCATTCGGTGGAACCGGTGAACTACACTTGCTTCTGGATAGCTGTGTGGGACAGAGGGCTCGTGGTACCTGTTGCCCACCCTTCCTCCTCTGCTTTGAGAATCGTGTGAACGGAGAGTGGGCAGAAGAGAAGGAGGTCCTCATACGGAGTCGCACACTTACTTGAGCAGTGCGGGAGACTGGGGAATGGGTCGAATAAACTCCCCTGGGGCCGGAAAAATAACAGACGAAGCTTTACTTAGATAGGGCTTTGATTGGTCTTTTTTTTTTCTTAGTGATTAGAAAGGAGGGCGCCTGGGTATGTTATAGAAAGGGGAGGCGGAAGCATCGAATGGCGAAGAGAGGCGACTCGGCAGGGAAGGAATGGGAAATCGTCAAGGATGACTTCTTTGTTGGCGGAACGAAGGGCTAAATAGCGAGAGTGATTCTCTGAGCCGGTCTGGATTTCCAACGCCTCGGGAAACTGGTCGAGATAGATGACAACACCTTTTTCCCCTCTTCCTTACCGGTAGGGCAATCTTCTCTTATGGCCTTCACCCCCTGCCCGGAAATAGAGAACCAAGCCCCTTTCTGATCCATTCATTTCTGCAAGCAGGGAGGATCCAGAGCGTTGCCCCCTCCTATTCGAGGCCGGATGGCCGCGCCCCACAAGCACCCAACCTTCCTGGAGCATTTAGCAATGCCAGCAGCTTGGTGAGGGCTGGCTGTCTGAGGACAGGTTAAGGCAGGGCCTGCTGGGCTTGTTGCATCGAAAGAGATAAATGTTGACTAATCTGGCTAACATTGAACTAGCCACTAATCATACAGCTAATAAAATAAAGTCGGTCACTACTGAGACAACTCATAAAATTCGTTTCAGGTTCAAGGGCTAAAGCTTCTCTTAGGAGAATCCCTTCGCTACACTCGACTTAAGGGCACTCGCTAGCGCTAGCGCACTACGGCTTTTCAACCTTCTGCAGGTTCCTTTATTCCCTCCGCCTTACACGGACTTAAAAGAGTACCTAAGGCGGATTAGTGGTTTATTTTCAAAAAAAAGGGATTTTATTTACCGTAGCTTTTAGACAGCTAACAGTTTTCACACCGATTTCCGCATCTACAAGCCCTTTTTTCAGAATCGCGCAAATTCCTCTATTTTTCATGTGTATTAGCCTATTTATCTGGCGCCCGGAGAACCCAATTTTTTTCTCAAAACACTTTACGAGGACCTCCGTATTGAGTTGGGTAACTATCAAGAATCACCATTTTTTTGTCCCCTTTTCCGCATTTACAGACCCTTTTTAGGATCGCGCATATTTCTCAACTTTTTGTGTGTATTAGCCGATGGATCTGGTGCCTACAATTGTTTTCTCAAAAACTTTATTAGAACCTCTGTATTGAGTTGGGGAACCATCATGTATACTCACAACATTTTTTTGCGACCATTTCCATATTTACAGCCCTGTTTTAGGAATCACGTAAGTTTCTCAATTTTTCGTATGTATTAGCCCATAGATCTGTCCTCAGAGCACCCAATATTTTTTTTTAAAATATAACTTTATGAGGACGTCCGTATTGAGTTGGGAACCATCACGTATACTCAGAGCATTTTTATCGTGCCCATTTTTGTATCTACAAGCCCTTGTTTAGGAATCGCGCAAATTCCTCAATTTTTGGTGTGTATTACCCCATAGATTTAGCGCCGGGAGAACCCAAAATTTTTTTCTCAAAAAACTTTATGAGGACCTCCGTATTGAGTTGGGGAACTATCATGTATACTCACACCAATTTTTCACTCCCATTTCCGCATCTACATGCCTTTTTTTATGAATCACTCAAATTTCTTTATTTTTCGTGTGTATTAGCCTATGTATCTAGCGTTCGAAGAAACCAAAAAATATTTCTCAAAAAATTTTATGAGGACCTCCGTATGGAGGTTGGGAACCATCATGTATACTACACTATTTGTTTCGCTCCCATCTACACATCTACAGGCCCTCTTTTTGGAATCGCGCAAATTTCTCAATTTTAAGTGTGTATTACCCATTGATTTGGCGCCCGACGAACCCAAAATTGTTTTCTCAAAAATCTTTATGAGGACCTCCATATTGAGTTGGGTAACCATCACGTATACGCACACTATTTTTTTTGCTCTCATTTGCGCATCTACATACCCTTTTTTATGAATTGCGCAAATTCCTCAATTTTTCGTGTGTATTAGCCCATGGATCGGGCTCCCGCATCACCCAAATTTTTTATCTCAAAAGACTCTATTGGGATCTCTATATTGAGTTGGGGAACCATCACGTATACTCACACCATTTTTTTCGCGCCCATTTCCCCGTCTACAGGCCCTGTTTTAGGAATTTCGCAAACTCTTCAATTATTCGTGAGTATTAGCCCATGATTCTGGCTCTCGGAGCACCCAATTTTTTTTTATCAAATAACTTTCTGAGGACTTCCGTATTGAGTTAGGGAACCATCACATATACTCACACTATTTTTTCGCACTCATTTTCGCATCTACAAGCACATTTTTAGGAATCACGCAAATTCCTCATTTTTTCATGTGTATTAGCCCATTGATCTGGCGCCCAGAGCAACCAAATTTGCTTTCTCAAAAAACTTTATAAGGACCTCCATATTGAGTTGGGAACCATCAAATATATTCACACCATTTTTTCGCACCCATTTCCACATCTATAAGCCCTTTTTTAGGAATCACGCAAATTTCTCAATTTTTCGTGTGTATTATCCAATGGATCAGGCGCCCAGAGTACCCACAAAACTTTTCGCTAAAAACTTTATGAGGACCTATGTATAAATTTGGGGAACCATCACGTATACTCACACCATTTTTTTCGCGCCCATTTCCACATCTACAGGCTCTGTTTTAGGAATCACGCAAATTCCTCAATTTTTCGTGTGTATTAGACAATAGATCTGGCGCCCGATGCACCCAAAATATTTTTCTCAAAAAACTTTTATGAGGACCTCCGTATTATTTTGGGGACCATCACTTATACTCACACCATTTTTTTTGCGCCCTTTTCCGCATCTACATGCCCTTTTTTAAGAATCACGCAAACTCCTCAATTTTTCATATGTATTAGCCCATAAATTTGGCACCGGAGCACACAAAAGTTTTTTCGCAAAAAAATTTATGAAGAACTACGTATTGAGTTGGGGAACCATCACGTATATTCACACCATTTTTTCGCGCCATTTCCACATCTATATCCCCTTTTTCTGGAATCACGCAAACTCCTCAATTTTTCATGTGTATTTGCCCATAGATCTGCGCCCGGAGCACCAAATTATTTTTCTTAAAAAAACATTATGCAAACCCCTGTATTGAGTTGGGTAACCATCACGTATACTCACACCTTTTTTCGCACCCATTTTCACATCTACATGCCCTTTTTTAGAAATCGTGCAAATTTCTCAATTTTTCGTGTGTATGCCCATGGATCTAGCGTCTGGAACACCCAAAAAAAATTTCTCAAAAAAAATTTCGAGGACTTCTGTATGGAGTTGGGAAACTATCACTTATACTCACACAATTTTTTTCGCACCAATTTTTCCATCTACATGCCCTTTTTAAGGAATCGCGCAAATTCCTAAATTTTTCATGTATATAGGCCATGGATCTGGCGCACTAGGAACCCTAATTTTTTTTCTCAAAAAACTTTATGAGGACCTCTGTATTGAGTTAGGGAATCATCACGTATACGTACACCATTTTTTTTGCTCCCATTTCCGCATCTTAAGGCCCATTTTTAGGAATTGCACAAATTCCTCATTTTTTTATGTGTATTAGCTCATGGATTTGATACTCAGAGCACCCACAAAAAAATTCTCAAAAAAATTATGAGGACCTTTGTATTGAGTTAGGGAACCATCACTTATACTCACACCATTTTTTTCTCGCCCATTTCCGCATCTACATGCCATTTTTTAGGAATCGCGCAAATTCCACAATTTTTGTGTGTATTAGCCCATAGATCTTGCGGTCGGAGCACCCAAATTTTTTTCTCAAAAACATTTATGAAGATCTCCGTATTGAGTTGTCGAACCATCATGTATACTCACACAATTTTTTCCGCGCCCATTTCTTCATCTACATGCACTATTTTAGGAATCGCGTAAATTTCTCAAATTTTCGTGTGTATTAGCCCATTGATCTGGTGCTTAGAGCCCCAAATATTTTTCCTCAAAAAACTTTATGAGTACCTCCATATTGATTTGGGGAACTATAGCGTATACTCACACCATTTGTTCACGCCCATATTAGCATTTACATGCCCTTTTGTAGGAATCGCGCAAATTCCTTATTTTTCCGTGTGTATTAACTTATGGATCTAGCACCTAGAGCACCCACAAGGTTTTTCTCAAAAATATTTATGATGATCTTAATATTGAATTGGGGAACCATCACGTATACTCACAACATTTTTTTCCACCCAATTTCCGCATCTACAGACCCTTTTTTAAGAATTGCGAAAATTTCTCAATTTATCGTGTTTATTAGCCTATTGATCTGGCGCCCAAAGAACCCAAAAGAATTTTCTCAAAAAACTTTTTTACGACCTCCGTATTGAGTTAAGGAACCATCACATATTCTCACATCATTTTTCGCGCCCTTTTCCGCATCTACATGCCCTTTTTAGAAATTGTGCAAATTTCTCAATTCTTCGTGTGTATTAGCCCATAGATCTAACACCCGGTACACCCAAAAATTATTTCTCAAATACTTTTTATGAGTACCTCCGTATTGAGTACGGGGACCATCACTTGAACTCACACCATTTTTTTTGCGCCCATTTCCTCATCTACAATCCCTTTTTTAGGAATCGCGCAAATTTCTCATTTTTTTGTGTGTATTAGCCAATAGATTTAGCGCCTGGAGCACCCAAATTTCTTTTCTCAAAAACTTTTATAAGGACCTCCGTATTAAGTTAGGGAACCATCACATATACTCACATTATTTTTTTGCGCCCATTTCCGCATCTACATGCCTTTTATTAGGAATCGCGCTTATTCCTCAATTTTTCGTGTGTATTACCCATAGATCTTGCGCCAGGAGCACCAAAAATATTTTTCTCAAAATACTTTACAAGGACCTCTGTATTGAGTTGGGGAACGATCACGTATACTCACACTATTGTTTCGTGCCCATTTTCGCATCTACATGCCCTTTTTCAGAAATCACGCAAATTTCTCAATTTTTGTGTGTATTTGCCCATGGATATGGCGTCTCGAGCACCCAAAATATTTTTCTCAAAAGACTTTATGAGGACCTTCGTATTGTGTTGGGGAACCATAACGTATACTCACACAATTTTTTCGCGCCCATTTCTGCATCTTCAGGCCTATATTAGGAATCGCGCAAATTTCTCAATCTTTTGTGCATATTAGCCCATTGATCTGGCGCCTGAAGCACTCAAAAAAAATTTCTCAAAAAACTTTATGAGGAACTTCGTATTGAGTTGGGAACTATCACATATACTCACACCAGTTCCGCATATACAGGCCCTGTTTTAGGAATCATGCATATTCCTCTATTTTTCGTGTGTATTAGCCCATGGATTTGGTGCCCAGAGCACCTAATTTTTTTTTTCTCAAAAAACTTTTGGAAGACCTCCATATTGAGTTAAAGAACTATAACATATACTCACACCATTTTTTCGTGCCCATTTCTGCACATACAGGCCCTTTTTTAGGAATCACGCAAATTTCTTATTTTTTCGTGTGTATTAGCCCATGAATCTGGCATCAGAAGCACCAAAAAAAAAATTCTCAAAAAAATTTATGAGGACCTCCGTATTGAATTGGAGAACCATCACGTATACTCACAATATTTTTTTCGCACCCATTTCTGCATCTACATGTTTTTTTTTGGAATCGCGCAAATTCTTCAATTTTTCATGTGTATTAGCCCATAGATCAGGCGCCAGAAGCACCCAAATTTTTTTTTCTCAAAAGAACTTTTTGAGGACCTCTGTATTGAGTTGGGAAAACAACATGTATACTCACACCATTTGTTTCGCACCCTTTTCCGCATCTACTGGCCTTTTTTTAGAAATCACACAAACTCCTCAATATTTTGTGTCTATTAGCACATGGATTTGGCGTCCGGAGCACCCTAAATTTTTTTCTAAAA